TGTTAATAGGCATTTATCCCTTTCAGGGTAAATACTCAGCTCTGACTAATCTTCCAGAGTCAGATGGTCATGGGACTCTGTACAGTGACTGTAGGTCTCATGCTTTGAAACAGTTTATATCCTAGTCTTCAGTCCATACAACCTAAAAATATCCATAATATATAGCAAAATGGTTTCTAGTTCCATCTTAGACTTGGCTGGAACAAGGGAATATTAAAGTTGCTTAAATCTGTGATAACATCAGAAAAAAAATGTGAAGCAAATGGATCACAGCATTCTTGAAGTAGGACCCCAAACGTTCTGGTAGGTAACACCAAGTAGATCAGGAGAAAACATCCTTTTGCTATAAGCATCAACACAGGATAAGGCCAAAGTCTTAACTGGGTTTAGCTGTCCTCATGATAGGCCTTACACCTTTGGCACTTGAAACTATCAACTGGGTTGTGTGATTGCCCACAGGACCTGAGAATATCAGAGTGAATACATTTCTATGAATGGATATGGGAAATTTGGGACCAGTTAGGCTCAAATGTCCAGGGAGCTAGATCTGGGGTAGAGGGTGGTTAAACCTGCAAGAAACTCCCTGGAAAATTATCTTCTGATCAGAGGACAATTTTTACCAAAAGAAATGATGGGTAGCTAAAAAACAAAACAAACAGAAGATGTATACAGAAAGGTCAAAGGGATGAAGAAAGAAAATAGGCACATAGTGTCTGATGGAGGGTGGGGTAGGGGCATGAAATGTGCATCATGATGGACAGTCTGTCACGTCTTCCCCAAGGATGTCCATGGTTCCAGGCTGGTTGTGACCAGGAGATTTGGGTTTGGGGGGGGGGCAGTTTGTCTAACCTCAAATCAAATGCTCTCTTCTTGACTTCAGAGTTTTTCTGAGGATAGGCTAGGAAAACCACCATGCATCCATAAGCAAACAGGGGGAAAATAGATAAATAAAATAAAATATCAGCATCTTAAATCAAGCTATATTTGGTACCTATAGTAGTCACTTTGTTGAAAATCTGGCAACACTGAAATTTGGCCATGTAAGTTTGGAGTAATTCGGGATGAATATTGTATCCCATCATCTCATAAAGCTTTGGACTTACTCTCCATCTCAGCGCTGGGTTGTTCCGGTTTACATTTACCTAGAAAGGCAATTTTGCAGCAAATGTAGAAACATCCAATAGCAAAATCACTGCATTTAAACAAATCCTCCAGATTTAGAACAGTCTATCGAGGAAATTCTAGATTTTAGAATCCAGAGTTATCTCACGGGGAGGAGATTTAGGGCAGGCCTGTGGCTTGGTGGTACACCACATACTATGAATACAAACTATGTATATGCATACACACACACTCACTCACACATACACACCCCTACTTTACCAGCCAGCATCTCTAGTTAAGGCTTAAGTAGCAATTGCTAGGAACACCTGCCACCTGTGGAAAGCCTTAGAGGGAGGGACAAACAAAGCAGATAAAATGCCTTTGACAAAAAGGAAAGGGGGAAAAAAAGGTTCAACACTGTTTCATCACCAACCTAATAGAACCTCCAGTTCAAAGGCAGTATACCTTGAAACTCCAGGTACTGAGGGGCAAAACCAACAAGGCACCCTCTCTGCGCGCTTCCCAAAAGAACTGGCATGACCACTGTTAGCAAGAAGAGGCTGGACTTTGGCTCTTTGCAACATCTGGAGGGCCCTGGGTCATCTGCTCAAGCTCTAGCACTTAGCATGGACAGCCAAGGGGCCACCTTTCAAACCAGCGTTGGCTCTCCCAGCTGGCATCCTCCTTGCATCGGGGAGGGCGGGCTAGCCCCTCCCCTTACCTTTGAAATGAATACTTTGGAAAGTTTGCTTGAAACTCCTCCTGAACTGAATCCAATCCTCAGCTAGGCCTCCACCCTGTTTGGTGGGCCAGAGACAAACCCGGGATTCGGTGCGGGGAAGGGGGAAACCAACGGCGTCTGAATCCAATTAAAGGGCCATTTCCCAAAGCCCCAGGCTCAGCTGGCAGGGACCCCTGTTGCCTAGGAAATGGGGCACAAGCCAAAAGACAAAATGGGGGGGGGGAGCTTTGCACCATTGCAGAAAGCAAGTGGAAATGCAGAGGAGAGGAATCCCCCTTCCCCACCCACTGCTCTGTCTCTCCCACCCCAGTTTCCCTGCAGCAAGGCTTGGATCCTGGCCAGTCTGGAGGAACTAAATTCTGTGGGATCCCAGAACCGTCACAGCCCCCATCTGGATTTCATTTGAACCAGACGCAGGCCTGCCCAGCGACGGGTTGACCTTTCTTTTTGGAAAAAAACCCAGTTTCCTACCTCCGCCTTTGGGGATGGCTCTGGGCAAGGCTGCCAACTTCCTCACAACAGTGCCCCCAGCCAGAAAACAGAGGGGTGCAGGCCCCCAACCTACTTCTAACTGACCCCCCTTGCCCAGCTGCAATGCTCCCAAGAAATGGGCCCACCACAAATTCAAGGATCCACCTTTACCAATACGATCTCCCTGCCTGGGGGATCTTCTGCCTCTCGTTCTCCTTTTTGCAAACAGGCTTGTGGAAATGCGTGTCACGCAAGCCACATTTTTTCCCGTTTTCAGATTCCAAGCTTGCCCTTCCAAATGTGATATTTAACATTTGAAAGGCCATGTTCTAGGGTGACCACTTCAAGCAGATGAGAAAAGGGGGGTTGGCCAACAATGGCTCATACCCCAATAAATGCACTGCAAGCTTAGTTGGGTTTGCCCCAAAAGCCTGACACAATAACCCCACCCCACTAGTTCTTCTAGATTTCACATTCTTGGGAGAAGAAAAAGAGAAATCGGGCATTGGAAGAGAGGAAAAAAAACCCTCAGAAGAATGTCCATGGGATACAAGATTCCTGAGAAGGTAAATGTTTGCCACTTTGGTGCTAGTCCCTAAGAGTCTGACTAAAGTCACACAGCATGTGAGGCTAACATTAGGTCAGTTAATCTGTACATTAGTGTGTGGTACAAATCTAGCCAGTAATGTTAGTTTTTGGTTCACTGGCTCAATTTTTGCAAAGCTGAATTTATTACAGTCCCGGTTCAGACCCACCATTTTGCAAAAAAACGGATGAGATCCCTTCTAACTAAGGCACAATTTTGTTCTTCATCCCTTTAATCTTATTAACATGCTCTATAGTAAGTATTTTCTTCCCCCAATAGATAAAGAGCACAATAACCCTGCAGAGTAGGCAATCATTAAGCATATTACAGCCAAGGCTGGGAGTTCATAAACCAGTTTGTTTAGAATGCCAGGGTGTTCACATCAACACTATAATGTCATAAAATAAGCCTTTCCAGCTCAAATAGCTTATAACTGCCTCGAAACACACCTTTCAATTTTTTTAAAAAATATTTTTTTTAATAAAAAGCTTAATTATTGGTTCAAGGCCACTCATTCCTAGAAAATGCCAAGAGTTCTGTGCCATTTGAAAAAGCTGACAAATATCTTTCCCTCTCATTTGCTTTCTCTCTCTTTTTTTTTAATGACCGGAATCCCTTCATTTGCCTGCTCTTTGACACACGAACATAAACTTTCTGAAGCAGCAACACAACATCTGGGTTGAGAGACAAAGAGCAAATGGAAAATTTAAGATTTTAATTCCGCACATTCACAGATGCACACGATAACTGTGCAAACAGAAGGACATATTCATGTACTTTCTCCTTAAAGAAAAATAAGGGGAAGGAAGTCTTCAGTTGAATCAAATGCACTATAACACACTTTTTTATGACTCCCTCCCCGCCATCCTTCCCTCCCTGGATTCCAGCATCCCTTCCCCCCTGCAACTAAGGCATTGCCCAAATAGCAAATTCCCACCTCACCTTCCAAGGGAACCCCCATAGTTGGGGGGTCTTTTTCCTCCTCTCCAAAAATCAGCTTGAATTCTAAGTCTTCATCTTCGCAGTTTGCAGCACCCATTTTTGAGAGAGAGAGAGAGAGAGAGAGAGAAAGAAAGTAGTGGAGAGGATGGATAGACGGTGCCTAATATGGTTAAAAAAAAGAAAAGAAAACCCTCTTTTAAAACAAAGCAAAAGATGGAGAGAGACGTACTGGGGGTGAAGAAGAGAAAGTGGCAAACTTTCTCTCTCTCTTTTTTTTAACTCAATACTTCTCTTTCGGTGTTGCCCACCCTCAATATTGAAATAATAATCATTATTGAAAAGAAAAGTTCCCAAAGTTTTCCCTCTCCTCCAGTTGCCTGCTTCTCACTCTCCTGCTCTCTGCTGATTGGTTCTTTAAAGACCTCAAACCATGCCCCCAGATGTCAGATTAAGCCACGCCCACCCAGCAGCTTGGGAAAGGAGGGGTAAGAATGTTCAGTGGGCTATCCTTTAATCCCCACCGAAAGAGGAAGAAATCTTCGTCTCCATCCTCCCCTTTCTTCTTCTTCAAGATGGATCAGCCTACCTGGAGCTCTAGCGGGAGGCTGCCCAAGAGGAAACTTCTACCCCACCAGTTTTGGGCTGCTTCATTAGGATGAGGTGGGCACAGGGGCTTGAAAGCAGCGGGATGAACTCTGGGTTTTGCAAGCCTCACAGGCATGATGCTTAAGTAACACCTAGTCATGTCAATTGCAAGTTTTTGCTTAAGATGGGGAAATATGATGGAGCTGCTGCCCAAGACATGGGAGGGAGGGAGGGAGGTCTGATTTTTTTCCCCAAAGATATTTGATACCTTCATATCTGATGAAGATATGAAGGTATCAATTCAGATGATATCCACTTCCAGATTATTTTGGGGGGGGGATTTGGTTATTCTTTAACCAACTAGGTTTGTGTTCCTTGTTTTTTCTTCAGGGAGCTCAAAACATTTTTTATGTTCTCCCAGCCACAACCACCCTGTGAGGTAGGTCGGGCTGAAAGACAGCCCAACCAGCCCAAAGTCATCCAGTGAGTTTCCAAGGCTGACGCTGGACTCTGACATCAGTCTCTGTCCACTTCTATACATGAATCACTCTTGGGTATAAAGCACTCTGAGCTCTGTTGCCACTTGGGCAGTAGGAAACATCAACCCAAGGGAATGGCCATCAACTTCCCCAGCCTAAGCTGGCTGGAATGATGGGAACTGTAGTCCAGAAAAATCTGGACAATGGCAGATTTGGGGTGGAGAGCTCTTAATTTAGAAGACAGGTACTGATGTATAACTTTGCAGAAATGACAAAAGGATAAGAGAAACCTAGAAACCATCCTATTTGTTCCCTTTTTTCCCTTCTCCTCCTCCTCCTCCAGAGCTCAGGGTAAGCATTTATTTTCTCACTCCTTCCCTTTAACTTCCCAACAACCCAATCAAGTAGTTTAGACTTAGAAAAGTTCCATTCTCATGGCAGCTTATACACGGATAGCTGGAAGAAGGCTTACTGAACTAGCATGATCTTCTTGGTCCATGTGTCACACTGAGCTGTAAAGTATTCCCAGTGATGCGCTATGGTCACACAACATACTACACAAACATGTGCTAATTTACAGCTCAGGGTGTCATGCGAGCCCAGACTGGATCTAGTTAATAATTGGATAGGACAGCATTTCTCAACCTTGGCAATTTTAAGATGTGTGACTGGAGAATGGGCATGCTGGCTGGGGAATCTTGGGAGTTGGTCCACACATCTTAAAGTTGGCAAGGTTGAGAAACACTGGGATTAGAGATCACAGGAAACCCTATGGTTATAGGCTAGACTGGGAAGTCTTTGATTACAGCTAAGTTTTAACTACTACAATATTTGCCATCCTGACTGCCATTTTCAAATGCAGAGAAGTTAAAATGGGCCGTGGCATACTGCAAATTCAGGTCTCTTCTTGACCAGGAAAACACAAATTCTCCAAAGAACACCTAAGAGTATTCAAGTACCAATAATTATTTGCAGGAATGGGGAGGGAAATACCAAATTTCATGAATGGCTCTGAAAATTTAATGGCTTTGTGTGGGTCGGACATTTTGCACTCATTTTGCACTGAGATTGTGTCCTTCATCAAGAAAACTCTGTTAGGGAATCTTCACACAAGCACACAGCAGAAGACACTTAACTAAAGCCAGTTAAAGATTCATGACTGCATTTCTGCAACACACAAAGCTAAGTTGGTTAAACCTGCCTGCTTTTTGTAGCTTAGGAGATGGTGCAAACCTAACCCATTTAGTTACTGTATGGTTTATAGTTCCATCTACTGTGTGACCACTAAAAATGTGGGTAACTCAGAAACTAGATTGAGCATCTACCTCCAGGATATCAGAATTACCGGTGTTCACAGTTGGGCAAGTGGTGACATTATGACTCAAAGGATGTGTCTTATGCACTTGCATCAGACACTGTGACGTAAGTGCTAAGTTTTTTCCTCTGTGCAATGATGCTGTGATGGTGTTTTCATATTGATGACGCTTCAGTTTGTTGCAAATGAAGCTGGAAGAAACTAACTGCTCTGCAGAGAAGCACCTCCACCACCACCATCATTGCTAAAGAAGGGATGGTTTTGATTAAGAACCTAGAAATTGTTCCACCAGTTTTTTGGATAACTAACTCGACTAGGGATGCTTTCTTAAGAACCTAGAAATTGTTCCTCCACCCTGGAATGAGACACAGATCAGAGCCAGAAGGTGGATTAGGAAAAGCTGGTGATTGGCTGGCTCAAGGAAATATGGAGCCACAAATGAGCCAATCACATTGTAATACAAACCTAGCTTCTGCTTCATTCATGATTTGCTGCATCATTCAAACCCAGAAAAAATAAAACTGGGGACAAGTTTAGCCATTCAGTTAGATGTGGTTTGCCCTGGCCTGCAAACATAGGCATTGAGATGCCCCCTTTTTTTGCAGGGGGATCCCCAATAAGTCCTGACGTAACACTGCCCTGATTTTGAATTCACACATTATGCTATTCTCTGTGCCCCACTTTGAAAATTATGATGGCTGGGGTCACAGAAGACCTTAAGTCCAAGCCAGAAAGCTTGGACTTAACGTGATGTGGGAACTCCGAGACTGTCCTAAATCTGCCAGCTTTAACAAGTGAGATCTCCAAGTGCTTCTGATCCACAGCCTCAAAGCCCATGACCCATCATTCCTAACCGTATGGCACTGGATGTTCCCCAGGCGTTCACAGTCTTTCATTTCCCATTTCCTTGGCCCACAGGAGGAGAGGGAGCGATGCATGGCCTGTGCAGAAACAGAGACATCCCAGCCCAGGGCACACACTCTCCTTCCTTCCTGCTCTTTCTCTTTTTTTCTTCTTTTCTGTTTTCCTCTTTCATTAACTTAATCAAAGCCATCCCTTCTTTTAGCAAACTGAGATGAGGGAGGCCGAAGCTCAGTGCCAGGGCAGGCCTGGTTTGAAAACTTTTAACACCAACCTTCTCCACATTGGAAGGCTGGGAGGACACCTTAGTAAGGCCAGTTGCTGTCCTTGCAGATGTTTTCACTCCTCCTTCCAGCTTTAGGAACTTGTGAAGGAAACTCCAGGCAGAATTCTCCTTCAGCCAGTCCCTGGTTTCCAGTGCCTGCTTCCATGTCCAACAAATGTCTGGCTTCATTAAATACCAGACATGGAAAGTGCTTTTTGGTGAAATGTCCTTTCCATGTTTATTCCTCCCTGCCTTCCTTTCTGCCTTTCTTCCCTCCCCTCCCCCCCTTTCTCTTCCCTCCCTCCTTCTCTACCCCTCCTCCTTTCCTTTCCTTTCCTTTCCTTTCCTTTCCTTTCCTTTCCTTTCCTTTCCTTTCCTTTCCTTTCCTTTCCTTTCCTTTCCTCTTTTCTCCCTTCCTCCCTCCCTCTCTCTCCACTCCTTCCCTCTTCTCCATTCCCTCCCCTTCTCTCCTTCCTTCCTTTTCTGTCTCCCCTCCCTCCCTCCTTCCCTCCCTTCCTTCCTCAATCACACATTCCCAGGGCCTTCCCCCATTTGCTTTGCTGGGGGCACCCAAACATTCTTAAAATCTCTTTGCTCCAAAAGAAGATTCTCCTATAGAGGAATATCTGGGAGACGTTACCTCGTTTCTTATTCTACCCCCTGGATTTTTCCTTCAAAAAAAAAAAAGTTGTATGTACAGGAACATACATCCTAACCCATTATCCCCATTCAGGGTCAGCAGTATGATGCAATGCACAGAAAAGAATCAGAAGTGAAGAGCCAAAGGAATTATACAGGAGATGCAAGAAAAGGATAGGAAATCTAACAAAATCCTAGTTTATCAGGCGGACCCATAAATACAAACCTCCGTGACCCACCATGGCTTGGGTCAATCAGACTTTTACATAACGTTGTTCAGCTACATATAGAAAGTATAGGCTAGATTACCAGTTTTCATCATTCCTTGTTAATTGTACTGGTTGGTCAATTTGGGCACATTTTGGGCAGGGGGCCACAGTTGCAGCCAAATCCCAGTTTTGTCCCAAACATGCCCATGGTACACTATTCTATGAAAGCTAGGATTTCTAAAAGACAGACTATCATACAAACCAACATCATGTTGTTTGCATCCCACTAATTTAGAATTACATGCAGGGCAATAACACACATTCAGGATGCAACTAATTGTCCCTCATTCTGATATCCAGTTGGTATAATTGAACATTATTTTACTTCTCCAAGATCCATCCTCCAGTAGCCAATCCATCTCTCTGTAAGTGGGCCCAGGTTTGCTTAACCATTCTTCACTGAACAAGCCACAATTGGCTGGGTTCGCACAACACATGAGGCAGCAAAGCCTGCTTTTTAAGCCATGTTGGCTTAGTTCATACAACATCCTAAGTGACAAATAAGCAAATCCCATTTGGGGGTTAGCATGTTGTGTGAACACAGACCTGGATTTGGGGTGGTATACAACTCTTGTTCCTTTCCATTGGGGGCTAGTCATGACACAGGTCATCCAGTTTAGTAGTTT